CTCTCTCTCTCTCTCTCTCCTCTCTCTCTCTCTCTCTCTCTCTCTCTCTCTCTCTCTCTCTCTCTCTCTCTCTCTCTCTCTCTCTCTCTCTCTCTCTCTCTCTCTCTCACTCTCTCTCTCTCTCTCTCTCTCTCTCTCTCTCTCTCTCTCTCTCTCTCTCTCTCTCTCTCTCTCTCTCTCTCTCTCTCTCTCTCTCTCGCTCTCTCTCTCTCTCATTCAAAACCATATCAATTTCTGGTTTTGATAGACTGTTCCAAATTTGTGAATGGAATTTTGTTAGGTCAGGAATTTTGACTTTTGAATCGCTTGAGTAGGCCTATAGGAGCAAATTTGAGAATATTTGGGATTATTATAGTTTAAGGGGATTCTAAAATGATTTTAAAGAAGTTTTAGGAAGTTTTACAATTTTTCTGTCTGTCTGTCCTGTTCTCTCTCTCTCTCTCTCTCTCTTCTCTCTCTCTCTCTCTCTCTCTCTCTCTCTCTCTCTCTCTCTCTCTCTCTCTCTCTCTCTCTCTCTCTCTCTCTCTCTTTCTCAGGTTGTCACAGAACATGTTATCCAGAGACAGGTAGAATGTCAGTGTATATGTTGTCAGCCACCATTTGACCACGTTGTCAGACCCGTATTGTTAGACCTCGTGTTGTCAGACCCCATTTGACCCCGTGTTGTCAACCAACATTTGACTACTTTGTCAGACCCTATTTGACCCCGTGTTGTCAGTCCACATTTGACCACGTTGTCAGACCTGTATTGTTAGACCCCGTGTTGTCAGAGGGATATTAGACGATCAGACCCTTGTTGGCAGACACTAAGGTAGATTCGTTTGTCATATTATGTTGTCAGATCGAATTAAATGTATTACAAGTCCCAGTTTATTAGAACTCGTTGGCTGAATCCCACGTTGTCAGCCGGTAGAATGTTGTCAGATCTGCGTTGTTAGATATTAAGTTATCAGACCCCCACGTTGTCAGCCTCCTCATTGTTGTCAGACACGCTCAGTAAGTATCGATGTTGTCAGTCCCCGTTTTCAGACTCCACGCTGTCAGCCTCGACTATGTTGTTAGACCCCCGCTGTCAGCCATTAAGTCGTCAAAACCCCACGATGTCAGCCATGAAGTTATCAGAGCCCTATGTCAGCGTCACCCGTTGTTTTCAGTTCCATGTTGTTAGCCTTGCCTTTGTTGTCAGACCTTCGATGTCAGCTATCAAGTTGTAAGTTATTAAGTCATCAGAACCCCACGCCGTCAGCCTCCCCGTTGTTGTTAGACCCACGTTGTCAGCCTCCGCGTTGCTGTCAGACTCATATTGGTCAGCCTCCCCGCTGTTGTTCAGCCCCACGTTGTCAGCCTCTCCTTTGTTGTCAGACCCACGTTGTCAGCCTTCCTGTTGTTATCAGAACCTCGCTGTCACCCTCCACGTTGTCAGCCATTAGGTCATCAGAACCCCACGTTGTCCAGCCATTAAGTCATCAAAAACCTCTCGTTGTCAGCCATTAAGTCATCCAAAACCTCACGTCATCAGCCATTAGGTCATCAGAACCCCACGTTGTCAGCCATAAAGTCATCAAAACCTCCCGTTGTCAGCCATTAGGTCATCAGAACCCCACGTTGTCAGTCATTAAGTCATCAAAAACCTCACGTTGTCAGCCATTAGTCATCAGAACCCCACGTTGTCAGTTCATTAAGTCCATTCAAAAACCTCACGTTGTCAGCCATTAGGTATCAGAAACCCCACGATGTCAGCCCCCACGTGGTTGTCCGAGAACCGCGCATTCCATCCACACCGCGCCGGGACCCAACGTGAACAAACCCGCTTTGTGCTTGTGTGATTGGCTCTTTTAGACCACGGGGGGGGGGGGGTAGGTGGCAAGCAGGAGGAGGGGAGGAAGGGAAGAGGGAGGAGAGGGAGGGAAGAAGGGAGGGAGAGGGAGGGTGGGTAAGGGGGAAGGAGAGTGGAGCGAGAGGGAGGGTGGGTAGGGGGAGGAGAGTGGAGGGAGAGGGAATGGAGGGGGATTGGTGGGGGGAGGAAAGGAGGGAGAGGGAAGGGAAGGGGTTGGTGGAGAGGGTGGGAGGAGGGGGGTGGGGGCGGAGTAGGAGGACGAAGGGAGGGAGGGAGGGTGGGAAGGAGGGAGGGTGGGGGAGGAGCAGGGGGAAGAAGGTAGGGGGAAGGAGGGAAAGAGAAAGGGAGAGGGGAGGGGGAAGAAGGAGAGAGGGATAGGAAGGGGCTCCAGATGTCGAGGGAGAGAGAGAGAGAGAAGGAGGGAGAAGGGAGAGGTGACAACTAGGGGAGAAGGGAGGAGGGAAGAAAGAAGAAGAGGGTGGGGGGGAGGTAAGGCCTAACCAGTTGCCAGCGTTTGATTTAAGCTCAATTATTTACCTTTTTTAAGACGTCAAATCTAAGTCATTTGCACCATTAGGGTTGACGGTTTCTTTTTTTTCTTTTTTTTTCTTTATATTTTTCCTTTTCATTTTTGTTATTATTGTTGCTGGTGTTGTTGCTATTGTTGCTGTTTTGTTATTGTTATTGTTGTTATTATTGAGGTTGTTGTTATGATTTTTGTGTCGTTATTATTGCTGTTATTATTTTCATTCTGATTATTGTTATTATTGTTATTATTATTCTTATCATTATTATCACGGTTATTGTTGTTAT